ATAGGCAACAGTTTTGAGGAGATCCTTTAATGATTTTTTATGAACAAAATTTTAAATAATTTCAAATCATAAAATCATTATTATTTGAAATGAAGATCTAATATGAAGGGATTAAGATTGGGAGAACCATATTTAAGAATTTGATATTTGAAAATACTATTTTGATATATGAGCAATATTACCTTACTCGTAATTTTAGTTAATTCCTATTAATAATAATTGAATTATTAAGAATGGCCTATCTATTAAAGGAATAAAATAGCTCAGATTGTCATTATAAGCAAAAAAAAAAACTATATATCTATTTCTATAATCCTTTTTAATTTAAAAAGCAATAAAGATGCATTATCAAAGCCTTCTATTCATAGTGGCCTCCTCTTTTTAAATCATAGAACATTTCGGTACTCTGATAATGTTCAATCATGTTTATGTCATCTTAAGAAGATATTTGCCAAAGAGTAGTTCGATTAATTCGAATGGATCTTCATTCTAAAACATTTTATTGGGTACATTTGAGGAAATAGTTGGATAATTCTATTCAGAAATTTATTATCTATTATATTTTTTTGATCAATCAGAACTAAGAATTATTTAGAAGTTTCTTAATGAGTAAAATGTGGATCATAATCCTTATGCGTAAAAAATTAACTGAAGCATAAATACCTGTACAGTGAGGATTATCTGGACAATTTATAGGATAGCTAATTAAAGTGGCCTATCTATCATGCAAACTTAATTTATCGCTGAAGCAAACCAACTTCCACTTTCCAAAAACAAACAAACTCTGGAAAATGCAGTAAACCCTGTAGATTCCAGAAGAAATTTAAGAGAAAGAAGAAAATTTAATTTTCGAGAATTCAAACCTGTTGCTTTGATACAATGTAAGATCCTTTCGTATATAACTTTTAGCATCTTAATAGAGAGTCAATATAAACGTTCTTTTTAATTTTTGAAATATTAACCAATATTGCTTTAACGTTATTGAGTCTATTAATTTATATTTTGCTAAATTCTCATAGTTAGAATTTAATTGATATAGAGTATTTTGAAAATAGATTTCAGTTATTTCAGAAAATAATCAAATCATTTGTCTTTTCAGATAATAATAAATATTCCTTTGAAATTATATTTTTACAAATGAATACAGGGATGCTGGTTCTATAGAGGTACTTTATTGAATGATAAATTATTATCAATCTTTTAACTTTTAGAAATGCAGCCGATTCTCAAATGTTCCCAATATAATTAACTTAATGAAAATATTGAAGTTCTCTATGAATTGGGTGATATTGGTTGTTGATAAAATCATTCTTTAAACATAGAGTTTTGTTTTGATCAGCCAATCAAAGTATAAAATTACTTTTAAAACAAAAATCACAAAATTAATTATTTCATAAGCAAGAATTCCCCATATTTTATGAGATTCATAATTTATAACAAATATAAATTTTTAGAATTCTACAACAAGCATCTTAAATCAGCTAACAAAATAAATCTAATTAATTTTATTTTCAAAAAAAAATGTCAAATTATACAGATATTATATTATAATTTTCATAATTGTTAATATGTTCTGATTTGAATTTAATTTGATTTATTATCCCAAGTGATCAAATACTCTCCATTATCACTCATTCCTCCAAATAATGAACATGTATTAAAATGAATAGATTATTGAGTTACTAAGTGTCCATCTAATGTTTTCCTTATCAAATTGACATATTACCCATTCTTACTCACAACCATACATTTTGAATTTATGTATTATTATGCAAATAAACAATTATTATCTGATCCACATTTTACATTAATATCTGTAGTCTTTGTAAACTATTGATTTATACTGTTCATCTCAAAAATAGATATCTATTCTTATTCATGTTGTGATAATGTGAACATATTATTATCAATAAAGCATACTCGATATGCAATTTATTCTACTGTAATCTTTTAGATAACAATCCATTCTTTATTCCGTCCTTATTGTTCCGTTATTAATAACAATTTATCATTACCACAAGATACAACTCTATTTTATTATTAATTCAAACTCAAACCATATACATAAGTAGAATGATGTTTAGTAACACGACCATTCATTCTTTTTCATCCAAAATTTAATTGTTTTATCATAACTTCCTGATACAATTAAATCTTCATTGTCATTTATTATAAGACATGCAATAGTACTACTATGTCCATTTAATATGTATTATGAAACCCATTAATTATTTTAATTTAATTACCATATAATAATAGAACTATCATAACTCCCAGATATAAACTAATTTTATTTCTTCATGAAGTTTAAAGTAAATACTCTATCATTATGTTAACTTAAAATTTAAGTTTGTTTGGTGATTCCTGATTTGAATTCAAATACTTTTATTTGTTAATAACATCCAGCCAATAATATTGAACAATCTTTATTAATAGCTATTGCGAAACAGTAATCAGATTATGAAATTGAATATTATGGGATTAATTGATAAGTGAATGGTTTCTCATTTAATTGATTAGTTTGATTTAATAATTGATCTTTGAGTTCTAATGAATTGTTAATATTAAGTTTGATTAATGATTTGATATCTAAATATAATGATTAAAGAAAGTTTGAATTGTGAAATTGAATTAAAGGAGTGTTAAATATGGGTATACAAGGTTGTTTTTAGACAGTATTTACATTGAAAGAATCAGAAGTATCATTAAGAAGTGAATCTAAATAAGAGTCCACTTTGTTGAATGAAGACTAATAAATTGATTAATCACAATATTACTTCTATTTAATTTTATACATCTTCAAAACATTCCATCATCTTTTCTTGATAAACATCACTTATTGTTCCTATCTTTTTATTCATTTATCTATTACTTTCAATTAATTTATTAATATTTAAATTCGACAACTATTTATATACTCTCTATTTATAATACTAATCAATTCAATTATTCTCATATTTATTTCCATCAAATTATTTTTATTAAATGATGTTGTAGTTAGTTCCTTTCTTTTCCTATTTTCTTAGCTCTCAAGAATTGCAAGTTCTAAATCTTTAGTTTTCAAATCATAAAAGAGATTCAAATGTAACATAATAAATTTCAATTGCTTGCTCTAAATATATCTCAAAATGGTTTATAATTATCAAACATATTCAATAAAATCATTTTTATTTGATAGATTCGATATGATAAATGATCACTTGTTATCATCTGAAATGAAAACATTATCATCTTATGATAAATCAAATTTAAGTCTGAATTTTACGTATAAAACTTAGAAAGAACCATTCCTTTGCATATTTTTTCTTCTATTTTCTTTCCACTTATTTCTAAGTAGGCGCAAAATAACACAATATGAACTTAATCCATCATATAAATTAGTTGCTTTTAGTAAAACTAAATAGAATCTTATAATAACACATGTTCTTCTCTTTTGTTAGAAACTTCCTTTTCTTCAATGGTCAATAATTTCAAAATTGATATATTTATTGGTATCTTATATAAAGAATCCATTCAAGAAATATTGGTTTTAGCTATAATTACATTTATACAATTTCTTAAAAATAAATTTCTTCCAGTTGATCATCAATCTATCTATTCAGCAATAATATCTAGACTCTTATTAGTTATTGTTCTTGGATAAATTTGATTGAAAAACTGCAAAGCAGATTCTCAAGTTATAATTTGTACCCCGACCACCTTAGGATTATACATATTTGAGACAATATTTGTGTTCCTACTACTTATGTTCTATCTACATTGTTAGTAAACATTCAGTTGAACCATTTAGTTCTCCTTATTATTATTAGGATGGCTTGTTAGAATATTTTATTATATTTAAGATTGAATCTTATTTCAAGAGATTAGGAAGTCTTAGTTTCAATCCTCGTCATTGTCAGAGCTCTAGTTTGCAATATGATGGAGACTTTTCAATCAGTTAAATGTGCATATTATCCTAGAATAACAAAATTATTGGAAATATTATGATTTAAGTAAATAATTTGGAAATTGGGTTTGTAAATTATTTAAAAACTGTTCCTGACTAATACCTTAAAGCCTAGATTCATATAATAAGTGAAAAAATAGATATATAAAATGATTTCCAAATTCAAATTAAACTAAGATAATGAACATTGCCAAATGATGATCCGTGTAAAATTAGAGTCTTAGTTTTAAAAAAAGGTGTTAAGCCAAGGAAAAGAAAGCTCCTTAAAGAAAATTATGGATTTGTTTTCTGGTTCTCTAGAACAGGAATCAAAGATGCATTTTTATGCTTTTAGAACAGAAACTTGAATAAAGCGATATGTTTACAGTATCACCGAACAGCAAGATACCATAAACTATTATCACATTAAATTTCAATCAGATTCAATATTGTTTCCTCATTCTTCTATTGAATGGCTAAAAGGATAACAAAAGGTGCCTTAAAAAATTTAGTATTTTTTATGAAGAGTTGTTTTTCTTACATTTTTGTATGCATTCCAGTTTTCTTAATTATTACGGTTTTTGGTCATCAAAAAATAAATTCCTGTG